CTATTGCTCACTACAAAGAGATAGTAATATTGTGCTTTGAAATAGCATTATAATTCTTGATATGCAATACTGATTTTTTATTTATGTACAACTTACAAAAGAGGGAATTAAGAAAAATTATGATTTGCCTTATCGTCTTTTGACTCATGTGTCAAAGTAAAATGGAGAAAAAGATGACAAGAAGAAATTGCATACATTATCCCTGGTGAAGAGAAACCATATAACCATGAATGATACATACCATATACAATTATGCGTATCTATTAAACAACACCTTATAAACAACCATGTTTCTTCAATATATTTTGACAGCTTACATCATCCTACAGTTGGACACAAGAATGAAATTAGCTTGGCTCAAATAAACTGACATAACATTGCTGATCATTAGGTTATAATATATACACAGCTTAGGGCAGTAATTCATAATGAGACTGACACAAAATTTGGCATTTACCTTTCCCACAACACTGGATTATATGATCACTAGATATATCTGAGGATCTTAGTTTATATACTCTCAGACACTTAGAACACTTCATTATACAGAACAGATATTAAATAATTATCTATTTTCAATACTGCTGACAAAACTCACAAAGAGCTTATAAAACTATTAATTTCATATGCTATATCTTACCCACACTGCAGTACATGCTTGTGTTTTCTTACCATGCAATGTATCATTTGCACTTTAACTAACAAGAAATTCATCTAATATCTTAGTCACAACACAGCATACATTACAATTGACAATTCTGAGATCTTCATACCTTCATACCTTTCTTCATACTACTTAAATATTTTTTCTAGGCTTTGGATCATTACCTTTCCTTCCATTACAGTAACTTATAATGCAAACTCTTTGATTACCTTCAACTTATTAACTTTACCTAAATGACTTAGAGAAAACAAATATATTATACAATAAAATTGCTCATGGAATGGTCTATGTAATATCAACTTGCTGATCAACCCAATTAGTCTTTAGATATATTATCAACAAATATCACCAACAACTTAGAAAAGGAGGTTTGCTCTAGACCTCTACTTTACTAACTGACAAGATTTCACGTGTCATATATAACTGTCTATAATCATTAAGATAAATGCCATTTTAATAACTATACGTAGAATATTATCAACTGCTACAAAGTTTTCATATGAAAAAAATGAGAAATCCAAATGTAATATACATAGTTTATGTAATTGCATGTATATATATCCAGATATGTATATTTGTGGATATGTATATACTTAATGTGAGAGTGAGAGTGAGAGTGAGAGTGAGAGTGAGAGTGAGAGTGAGAGTGAGAGTGAGAGTGAGAGTGAGAGTGAGAGTGAGAGTGAGAGTGAGAGTGAGAGTGAGAGAGAGAGAGAGAGAGAGAGAGAGAGGAGAGAGAGAGAGAGAGAGAGAGAGAGAGAGAGAGAGAGAGAGAGAGAGAGAGAGAGAGAGAGAGAAAGAGAGAGAGAGAGAGAGAGAGAGAGAGAGAGAGAGAGAGAGAGAGAGAGAGAGAGAGAGAGAGAGAGAGAGTGAGAGAGAGAGAGAGAGAGAGAGGAGAGAGAGAGAGAGAGAGAGAGAGAGAGAGTGAGTGAGTGAGTGTGAGTTGAGTGTGAGTGTGAGTGTGAGTGTGAGTGTGAGTGTGAGTGTGTGTGTGTGTGGTGTGTGTGTGTGTGTGTGTGTGTGTGTGTGAGGAGTGAGTGTGTGTGAGTGTGAGTGAGTGAGTGAGTGAGTGAGTGAGTGTGTGTGTGTGAGTGTGTGTGATGTGTGTGTGTGTGTGGGTGTGTGTGTGGTGTGTGTGTGTGTGTGTGTGTGTGTGTGTGTGTGTGGTGTGTGTGGTGTGTGTATGTGTGTGTGTGTGTGTGTGTGTGTGTTTATATATATATATATATATATATATATTATATATTATATATATATATTATATATAATATATATATATGTATATATATGTAATGTAATTCTAAATTTCATATAACATATAATATAGTGAATATTCACTACAAAAACTTGTTTCTACATGACAAAAATAAAAAGCTTTGCATCTGTATCCCTTGCCATTCCTAAATATCATGACTAAACCCCCAAATTGCAGGAACTTCTTAATAAAATCAAAAAATGTCTATAATTGCCTTAGTTCTACTTAGTGTTACATAGCACATTCCCAGTCCACTAAATGACTTTCGATAATTATTCAGAAACAATTACCACGATTATCAAAATGACAAACTTTCTCTAAATTCCATTAGTACTAGTAGAGTTGAAGATCCTTTTCTTCCATTACATATATATTTCTGGCGTTTATATTTGAAATTTTGGTGAAAATAATATTCATGAAAGTATAACGAGATGAAAAATATATTTAGTGATAACAGAATTTTGCAAAAGGGATATATTAACAAATCACTTCAACCTCAAAATGATTGCTAATTACCATTTACTGAGCAAATATGAATCAAAGAAAAATGAGACATACTAATTTCTTTTTATATATCCATTTTATCAGCTTACATTTGACCAGTTTTGTCATGAATTGCAATACTATTCTAAATTGCCGTTTTTCATCATGGTAAAATGTAATTCAAAAATTCTCCCTTAAAAATGCATATCCGTTTCCAGAACTAAGATATTACATTCATGTCTACAAACACACACTCCTGATGTTCATCAATCATTAAACTTTAAAAGAAATCACTTCTATAAAGCATACACATAATTCACATGTCTTTACTTGTGTACAACCACAATTAGTTGCCCTAAAAATTAATCAGTACTTCATCAGATATGACTGCCTCTTTAGTACAATATTTATGTCATGGTAAGCAATTGCAAATCTGTATACATGTAGTGATGCATATCATTTGACAATTGTGCAGAGTACTTTACATTTATTGCCTTATCTAATTACGGAAAATTATCACTTCTTTTTCTTTCTTTTTTTGAGCTATAGATTTGTGCTTATGTTATGCTTTTTTGTATGAAAATGGCACTCTGATGTTTGAATTCAATATTTTGTCTCAATATCAATATTCTTCGGTGCAACTGTGCTTTCATCATGAAATACTTTAGGTACTGTAAGTTGTACTATATATCTTTTAGAATGGAATAACAAACCAAATATATCAAAATTCTTCATTCAGAAACAGCTTGGAGCAAATTTCTATTTGAAAGCTTAGAATATTATAAACAAGCACATCTGGATTCCAGACTGAGGTTTTGTAGGTAAAGCTGCTTATAAAAATGTTTAGTTACAGTGCAGACATGTTTGCCTGAGTTAGTGAGTTTCTACAGAGTCATCTATACATGCATGGTTCCTACTCTGAAATGAAAATATGTGTACAAAAAAGAAAAAGAAGAAAAGAAATGAAAAACAATAAACAAGTTCTTGATAGTAGGAAACTACAGAAACAATGCTGAGAAAGATATGAGAGAATGAATACTTCCACAAAACAAGATAGATAAGCTGATGTTTTGATCATGGAATCATGATCAGAAATACTCGTATGTAATACATTTCTGATGAACAGTATATAGTTGACAAGCAAAGTAAATTCACCTGACATTGTTGAATTATTCACACTCATTCACACCTTTTTCCACATTTGTTACTATGAATACAGAAACTATATACATCTGCAAGCACTTACAATGTGCATTTTGCAATACTGTTCTCATAGCTGAAGCCATGAACATCTGTCTTTTTTATATTATGTTTATACCAGCTTAAAGAAGAAAGAGAGAATGAAGTTGCCTTGCATAAGACATCAAAGGAAAGTGAGGCCTCACAACCACAGTACATTAGCTGGGTTAATCAGTAGCACAAGGAAGTTAGGGAAGTTATGCTTTAAAAAAGGGAGTACAACTATGTTGAAATACAAAGCCGGCATAGTAGAAGGAATATACTGTTGCTTGTTAAATAATGACATTGCTGTTCAAGGAATGAAATGGATGGATGTATGTGTTGGAACCTGTATGGTACTTGGGGCACTCATTTCTCTATAAAAGTGGAGAAAGTGGCACTTCGTTAGAGGGTACCACTAAGCACAGAGCATAGATACTGAATGTTGTCTGTGGTACTCAGTAGTCTGTGCAAAACTAGTATCGTGGCTCGAAAATTCATCTTGATTCTATGCATCATTCACATGATTTATGTTATACATGCTATTGGCTAACTATGTAATATGGCAGAGTGTTTCCGTAAAATCAAATCTGACTTTAAACAAGTTATAGTACCAAAAATTAACCATTTCAAGTAAAAGAAAATATCTGCAATAAATTTGTGTAATTCATGGTTTAGCTGTTTATAGCTTCTGGCCATAATTACTAACAATGAATACAAACCTGCATCTAAATTGGTAAATTTAATTATAATTTTCCTCTCTAAATAATGTAAAGGATGTATTTAGAGGAAGAAAACATTCAAGTACGGCATAGTGGTAATAATTTAAAATCTTATCTAGAAAAGCTCCATCATTTCACTCAGGGAAAGTGATATATCTTACTATATAAAATATAATAAAAAAAAAAAAAAATCCCTGCAAGGTTTTACTACTGCTGATATAATCTTAATGTTTCAAATGAAAATATTAAAACCCTACAAAAGATTTAAAAGTATGTTGCTTTTTATCTAACATTCATAAACTTCAAGTATAAAACTAAAACACAACCATAAAACCTGTAACTGAATTCAAAATAACCGACTTAAATCATACTTTTCCAGCCACAATATGAATGACTTACCATATTCATATATTGGTAATCACAAAGACAGACACACAAAAAATATATGTTCAAGTAATATTAAATATGAATGAAGATCTAAAGTGATTAAATTAGTTTATCACCACTGTCACACTGATTCTATCCCATATGTTCCTTCCAGTACAAGAACTTCATCATATCATTAAATAAAATAGTTCAAGTTTACACCAAATATGAAGACTACACTTGATTGGTATCATAAACACCAATTACTCATATAATTTTTGTCATATCTCTCTCATGCTCTTGTTGCAACTTGTGAAAATTCTTCTATATCTGAATCATCCGAGTCTGGAGCATCATGATCCAGGTCTTCCGTTGCAACCTTTTCAAAGCCGTGATGTTTATTGAGCAGAGAGCCTAGATTCAA